GGCAAAGGGCAAGCAGTTAAAAGTCAGAAACACTCACCTGTAGCAGGATCCAGTGATGTGCTCACCTGTGCCATTACTTCCTTCAGTCTTCTGTCCCCAGCATCTCAACTGTGGGCACACAGCTGTGACAGCTTGCGGGCTTCACAGATGTGCTGCGCATTGTGAATGGTCCCGCAGTCTTCTGGGACCTGTGACTTGGTCCCAGAAGACTGTGGGGAGGGAGGGGAACTTCTGCTCCAATTTGCCTAGGTGATCCGAGTAAAAGTGGGAACATGTACCTGTCAAAACCAGGTACCTGCCCCATCCCTAAAAAAAAAAAAAGTGCCATGTGGTTTAGAAGAGGATGGGGGGGGGGGTCTTTAAAGCGGAACTTCCCCCTTTTGGGTGGAGCTTCGCTATAAAGGGGTTGTGAACCTCAGATATAAAATATGAGCAAATATCTATAGTGTGTACTTGACTCAATTAAGAGCACTAAGTGTCATTTCTGTCTGCTGCTTTATCCTCTGCTATCAAGATTAATCACTTTCGACACCGAGAGAGAGAGAGAGAAGAAGAAAAAAAAAAAAAAAAAAAAAAAGGGACACGGGAGGGATCTCCAGGATACAGTCTGTCAATGACAGCCTCAGCTACATTATATTACCAAAATTATTGGGTCACCCCTCCAAATCATTGGATTCAGGTGTTCTAATCACCTCCATTGCCACATCAAGCACCTAGGCATGCAGTTTGGGGTGGGGTGGAGGTGGTATAAATTAGAGAGGAGTCTGCGAGCCAGGCCTTATCATCCAACATTAGTGTCTGACCTCACAAATGCTCTTCTGACACACTCCTAAACCTTGGGGACAGACATCCCAGAAGAGTTGAAGCTGGTATAGCTGCAAAGGATGGGTCAAGTCAATAGTGAGCCCTATGGACTAAGACTGGGATGTCATTATTATTACTACATCGAGTTTATATAGCGCCAAAGGGTTTGCTCAGCGCTGTACAATAGAGGGGTGGGGGGGGGGGGACAATACATGAAACAGTACAGCAACAACAAACAGCACACGAGGGGTTAGAGGGACCTACTCTTTCGAGCTTACAATCTAGGAGGGAGGGGGTAGTGGTACAGGAGGCAGTGGCTGTGGGGGATGGAGTGGTAGGAGGAATGAAAGAGGACGGCTGTTAGGTAAGTGTGGGGTAGGCTTCCCTGAAGAGGTGGGTTTTCAGGGAGCGCCTGAAGGTGAGGAGGGAAGGCGACAATCTGATGGATTGGGGTAGTGAGTTCCAGAGGATGGGGGAGGACCTGGAGAAGCTTTGCAGTTGTGCGTGGGAGGAGGAGACTAGGGAGCAAGACAGAAGGAGGTCCTGTGAGGAGCGAAGGGTACGGGTAGGGTGGTACTTGGGAATCAGGTTGGTGAGGTAGTTAGGGGCAGTGTTGTGAATGGCTTTGTAGGTCAGAGTTAGCAGTTTGAATTTGATGCGTTGGGCAACAGAGAGCCAGTGGAGGGATAGGCAGAGGGGGGTGGCAGAGGTGGATGAGTCTAGCCGCTGAGTTCAGGATGGTCTGAAGCAGGGAGAGCCTGCGCTGGGGCAGGCCGGTGAGAAGGGAGTTGCAGTAGTCAAGGCGCAAGACAATCAGGGAGTGCACGAGTAGCTTAGTGGTGTCTGGGGTAAGGAAGGAGCGTATCTTGGCGATGTTGCGGAGGTGGAGCCTGCATGTGTTCGTAAGTGATTTGACATGAGGTTGGAAGGAAAGGTTTGAGTCCAAAGTGACGCTAAGGACTTTGGCTTGCTGGGCAGGATTGATGGTGGTGTTGTTGGTAGTGAAGGATAGTATGGGGGGGGGGGGGCATGGGCAGGGGGAAAGACGAGGAGCTCGGTTTTAGAGAGGTTAAGCTTGAGGAAATGGAGCGACATCCAGTCTGAGATGTCGTTTAGGAGGTGAGTGATGCGGGCGGAGACTGTGGGGATGAGGTGAGGGGTGGAGAGGTAAATTTGAGTGTCATCAGCGTAGAGGTGATAGTTGAAGCCGTGGAAGTGTATGAGTTTGCCAAGGGAGAAGGTGTAGATGGAGAAGAGAAGGGGTCCGAGGACAGAGCCTTGGGAGACCCCAACAGAGAGGGGGAGGGGAGGTGGCACCGTTGTAGTAAACGCTGAAGGAGCGTTGGGATAGATAGGAGGAGAACCAGGAGAGAGTGGTGTCTCTGATGCCAAGGGAGAGAAGTTTCTTAAGGAGGAGGGGTGGTCATCTGTGTCGAAGGCCGCGGAGAGGTCCAGGAGAAGGAGGACAGAGTAGTCGCCTTTGGCTTTGGTGGTTAGTAGGTCGTTAGTGATTTTGAGGAGGGCAGTTTTAGTGGAGTGTTGGGGACGGAAGCCAGACTGTAGTGGGTCAAGGAGGTTGTTGTCAGTTAGGTGGGCGCTCAGGCGATTGTAGACTAAGTGCTCAAGGAGCTTGGAAGTGAGTGGCAGCAGGGAGATGGGTCTGAGGTTGTTTGGGTCTGTGGGGTCCAGAGAGGGCTTTTTGAGTATGGGGTGATGTGCGCATGCTTTAGGGGGGAGGGGAATGCGCCAGTAGAGAGGGAGAGATTGAAGATGTGGGTGAGAGAGTTGATGAGGGAGGAGGGGGGTGACCGGAGGAGATGAGAGGGGATAGGGTCCAGGGGGCACGTAGTGAGGCGGGCTTCTGAGAAGACCCTGGTGACTTCCTCAGTGGTAGCAGGGCTGAAGGAGTACAGTGCTGGGGGGGTTACGGTAAGCGGGGCCTTGGGTGTGGTGGGGAGCAGTGCGGTTGCGAGGTCGGGGAAGGCTAGGTGGAGGGGAGAGATGAGGGGCGTGATGGGGAAGGGGGGTGAGGCTAGAGTGGGGGAGGTAGGGGGGGAGCGAGCAGGGAGTTGAAGGTAGAGAAGAGTCGGCGAGGGCAGGTGGAGAGGGTGTTGATCAGGTTTACGAAGTAGGCCTGCTTGGCGGCATAGAGGGAGGAGGTGTAAGTGAGGAAGGAAGATTTGTAGAGGGAGAACGCACGAGGGGGGGGGGGGGGGGTGGGTGTGTGTGTGTGTGTGTGTGTGTGTGTGTGTGTGTGTGTGTGTGTGTAAAGGCAGGCATCCCACTACATTTGGCAATATAATGTATGTTCCTGTATGAAGGGAGGTGTGTCCCTTCCCTCCAATCAGCTCTAAGCTCTAATCACTAAGCTCTGCAGAGTGTATATTCAGATCACCGCCCCTGCTTTCTGGAAGCTCAGAGACGCTGTATAAAATATGGACTTTGAACAGCTGTAGAGAAGAGAAATATACAGATAAACAGGTATGTTTGTAGGATTTGTTTAATCTCTGTGTATCACCTGAAGCCAGTCACTTTACGGGGTATGTGTAAGAGTTTACAACCACTATAATAGAAGTACAGAGTAATGTAAAAGTTTCAAACTGAAAACTGAGTAGAGAGAGATGTTCTTAGTTGGCTCACTCTTCAAACAATGACCAGTGCAAAGCTTAAAAAGTAATCTAAATACCATCTTACCCATATAATCCTTTAAAAACAGCTTACAATTAGATATTTAAAAGCCAAGTTAAACAATTTTCCAATTCTCTCTTCAATTTTCCATACTTGGCCTCAAAATGGCATAAAAAAAAAAAAACATGCCACATACATCAGCCTTTATATCAGCTGTAAAAAAAAAAAAAAAAAAAAAACCTTGATACTTTTATTCTCTACCAAAAACTATAGATACACTTTAAATATTGCATATGTACATAGTCTTACTCTTCTAATCAGTCAGTAGGTTAAGATTTAGGAGTTTTTAAACTTGTTTATCATCCTACTGTGAAAAGCTTAACTCTTACAGAGATCTGTATCCTGAAATGACATTCACAAATAACATTTTACAATGCATTTTTCCTTTTGCAGATGCTTAGTCTGATATTTCAGACAGAAAACAGTGCCTCATGGCAAGCAGTCTCTACTGTGCTGTCCCATTAGCTAACCCAGAGAGATCTGAGTATCCTTTGTCATGTATTTAATGTTTATTTGTAAAACAATGTACATATATTTTAAATAGAAATAAACCAATAGTTTAAATGTATAAAACTTAAATAAAAAAGGACTTAAAAATTACCTATAAGCATTATAACTACCCTTTAAACTATATTAACACCTTAATATTTTAGAAATTAAGCACACATTTTTTAGAACACACAACACTCATGATAAACTAGTACTGAATACCTGAATGAACTGTAATACACCTCTATAAAAAAAATACATATAAAACCTGATTAAAGCAGAACTTCAGCCAAAACCTATTTTTTTTTTTACTTTTTAATGGAGCTAGGGAGGGTTATTCCCTGTCAGTTTTCTGCCATCTGTGTCCCACTGAGATTTCTTTTCACTTCCTGTTGCATAGCCACAAAAGAGTATGAGAGGAAATCTCTCCAAAAATGAGAAAACTCCCAGCGTATCATCATAACTAGTATCCATGTTCAAAGATTTCCCCTCTAATTTTGTTCTGGTGACAACTTGTGAATTTCTTGCACTTTCACGCTCAGGGATAACAGTCAACAGGACAAATAGGGTGAAACTGGCACACAGACTAATTAAAACCTGACAGTAGTTGTGATTGCTCTCCACTCTATCCAAATTAAAAGAAAAAAATACCTTTAGTTATACTTTAACGAAGCACAGACAATTAACTACTAAACTGAATCTGTATATCCTTGTTTGTTATGATTTTTTTTAAATAGGGATTCAGCTGCAAACAAAATACATTTTTCTTGTTGTAGTGGTTGTTCTGTGTGACCTATTTAAAAGTTTATATTATATTATATTAGAAAAACAGCAAAGCTGGTCAGTGATGAATATATTTCTTATGGAAAACCATCTTACAGAACAAGCTTCCACATTGTAGGCAAAATAATTTACCTTAACCGATTTGGAGCTTAGCTAAATAGTTTTAAAAAAAACTCATTTAAATGTTATAACAAATTATTGCCAACATAGATGAAAATACTGAGTACATGGACTTTTCAGCTACCAAAAAGGAGATTAGCTGATGGTGTTTGTTCTGAGCTTGATGAGGCAGAGCTATAAAATGACTTGGTTTGGTTCTCTCGATGTTCTCGAAGGAATGGAGGAATAGTTGTAGATTTAACATGTAAAATTCTGGTGTCCATTACTTCACAATCGATTTGCATCATCACTTCATATTCTTGACCATTAATCACATTTTCTATAAGAAATAAAGACAAATCAAGTTAAAAGATAACATGCAAATACTAAACTGGTTTAATCATATATACAAAAAAATGATCAGTGCACAGAAGGACACAATCTACAAGTAATCCATAGCATGTAAAGTGCCTTGAAGAAGTATTCATACCCCTTGAAATTTTCCACATTTTGTCATGTTACAACCAAAAACATAAATATATTTTATTGGGATTTTATGTGATAGCTCAACACAAAGTGGCACATAATTGTGAAGTGGAAGGAAAATGATAAATGGTTTTCAACATTTTTACAAAAAATATCTGAAAAAGTGTGGCGTGCATTTGTATTCAGCCCTCCTGAGTCAATACTTTGTAGAACCACCTTTCAGTGCAATTACAGCTGCAAGTCTTTGGGTATGTCTCTACCAGCTTTGCACATCTAGAGAGAGTGACATTTTGATTGGATGGAGGGTGTACGTGAACAGCAATTTTCAAGTCTTGTAACAGATTCTCAATGGATTTAGGTCTGGACTTTGACTGGGCCATTCTTATACATGAATATGCTGTGATCTAAACCATTCCATTGTAGCTCTGGCTGTATGTTTAGGGTCGTTGTCCTACTGGAAGGTGAACCTCCACCCCAGTCTCAAGTCTTTTGCAGGCTCTAACATGTTTTCTTCTAAGATTGCCCTGTATTTGGCTCCATCCATCTTCCCATCAACTCCAAAAAGGTTCTAGCGTCTGGAACCTTTGGAAGCCCTGTTTTTTATTTTTCCTTGCTCAGTTTATTTAGTTCAGTCCAGGTCCATGGCACAGATTGTTCAGTCCTCCATGGACTTCAATCATTTTATGCACCTAAACAAGTGGGGACTTTTTTTTGGGGGGGGGGGGGGGGATCCTGCCATAGTGGTCACAAGGACCACAGTGACTTGTGGGAAATCTACCTAAAAATATAGTAGTCCTCCAATTATTACCTCTTAAATAGGGGGTGCTAGCATTTTACCATCTAGACCTTTGGATAGAGCTGTGAGCTCCGAGCGTGTAGCTTAGTTTCTCTATGGTGTTTTGCCCTCTTCTGATGACATCAAATCAGCTTGCCAAGTGCGTTCCATGCTGGCCCTAAGAGCTTCCAGTTCTGGCTGCAGTGGCTCAAGGCTCCCTCTCCATCCTCAGGAATCACATCACAGGCACAGGAAACGTTTGGACTATGATACAGGCAACACACTTTACTAATGTCTGATGGGCTGTCTCTCTGTCAATATCTTGAGTTTTTAACCAACTTTTATTAAATACTAACTTTCTCCTGCACTTAGAAGGGGCTTTTATCCCCCTTTTTGTAAAATGGTTTAATAAATATGGTAAATACAACATAAGGCAGCGAAAAGCAAAATTATATTTTGAGTAGAACACACTCTCCATAAAAATCGACATCTGCAAAAGTCAGAACAATGCTCTATATAACCAAAGCATTAGATGATCATAAATAAAAGCTGCTCATGACATTTGTTTTTACACCTGCAGCTGGAAACAAGTGATGACACAGCACAGAACATATCTCCTATTTTGGTAATGTGCGTTGACAAAACCAGGTACTTAGAAAAGCTTTTCCTAATAAACAAACTCATTAAATCATTTAACCACCTTTATAAAGTAATGATTCTGAACATTGACTGCTGCATTTTGAGAAATAAAAACAAATCTTCGAGTCTATTAAATGAGCATTAGAAGTAAATTACACTACCTTCGCCAAGAACTACAACATGCTGCTAACACAGACCAGTTATGTTAATCAACAACATGTTTTTCATGCCAAATATAGTATTTTTTTTTCCTGCAAGATAGCACTCTTTTAAAAGCAGATTTGAATCAATTAAGTTGCTTCTAATTCTCAGAATTCAATGCCTTGGTTATGCTCTTGTGAAAAAAATCAACATTGCATTCTCCTGATACTGCGTTGTCTCTCTGAAAAAGGGTCAGGTGTACTGTACTTTTTGTGGCTATTAGAAGCACTGGCAGCTCTTTCAAAATGAATGCATGTTATCGTATGTTACTGCACAAATGTGATCCTGGCCAAAAGATCTGTATTGCTTGCATTGTCCTGCTTTTGCCTCATTCATTCAGTGGATCTGTGCTTTCTGAACCTCTCCTGTTGTATTTTAATCATTAGCCCTTCAATCATCTCATCACCAGTTATTAAAGCTGACCAAAATGGCCAAACCCAAACAGAGACAGTTTGGAATAAGGCAAAAGTACATAGAGCTGGAATATTGGTGACTACTCCTTTGCCCGCTGACTACCTTTTTTGGATTTTTTTTTTATGGTATAGTTTACAACTGTTAAAAGAGAAATATGCAGTTAAAAACAAAGACTGCTACTATGGAACCAGCACACGGTTATGTTTTGCATACTACACATTATACAGGCAAAATTCCAGTAAGCACCGATGAGATTTAGAGTACTCACCCTAAAAAGGTATGCCAAATGTGCACATACAGTGGGTAAGATAAGTATTGAACACATCACCATTTTTCTCAGTAAATATATTTCTAAAGGTGCTGTTGACATGAAATGTTCTACAAATGTTGGTAACAACCCATGCAATCCATACATACAAAGAAACCAAAACAAATAAGTTCATAAATTAAGTTATGTGTAATAAAATGGAACAACACAGGGAAAAAGTATTGAACACATGAAAAAAAGGGAGGTGCAAAAAGACACGGACAGCCAAGACACCAGATGAAATCTATCAATTAGAAAGCAATCCTGCCCCTTGTCAGTTCATATTAATATCAGCTGGTTCAGTCTCAAATGATGGCCTATAAAAAGGTGTCTCTTTGTATGTATGGATTGCATGGGCTGTTACCCACCTATGGTGAAAATTCCATGTCAATAGCACCTTTAGAAATATATTTACTGAGAAAAATGGTGACGTATTCAATACTTATTTCTGTACATGAACAAGCGGTGAATAATATATTTCAAAAAGAGTCTGGTCTGTGTAGACTAAATTCTTGTCAATTAGGAAGGTTAGCAGGATAGGCAACTAATGTTTCTGAACGAGCAGTCAGCAGTGACCACCTCTTAGTTTCTCATAGGAAAGGTTAGTGCTGGTCACTGAAAACAGGCAGTAGCACTTTTTTTTTTTTTTGTCAGAAGTAAAACACTTCTGTGCAATGAACTATTTCCTAAACATTTCAATTCCCTGTCCATAAAGCTGCCATGCACACATAAGAAAAAAAAATCTATCAAATAAAAAGTATGATTATTACTTATCTGATTTCTAACAATTAATGAAAAACACCAATCTTACATAAACAGTCATTTTTGCTGTACACATTTGGCTGTTAACGGTTGAACACAGCCAAGTTTGCTTCAGGAACTTAGAAGAAAATGGTGTCCAGTTGAATGAAATACAATTCATCTGGGTTAAGAGAATGTGGAAACTGCAGCCAATGCAGCTGTGGGACCCTAAATTACTAATGAAATGCCAAAGGAAACTCTACTTTCAGCCTCCACCCAGTAATGGAATGCACCGATAAACCAACAGTGTGGGATTCAACCAACAGAGGTTTTATTTTAAGGAATTCTAAAAACTCAGAAAATATTAAGGGCTAAAAAGAGAGAACGAATCGTACCTTACCAAAAACAGATTTGTAAAAGGCCACTGTATATTAGCGTGTTTCTTTAAAGAACACAATGAATTAAAAAAATATATATATATTTTATCATTAAACTACTTAATTTGAATTGAAGGGGCGAATACCAGAAATATAAAAGACACAATAATATTTAAAGTACTGTGCAAACTAACTAGGCACTCCAAAATGTATGCTTTGAATTGTTACTTTAAAATCTATTGAAACATGAATTCTGAAGACAGAGTTGCAAACTTTACTTTTCAAAATGTAATACAATAAGATATTTGCACATCTTAGATGAAACATAACAAAACGTGCAGAAAAACTGATGTAAATGCTTGTCTCTGAAAGTGAAATTTGCCTGTTTTTTTTTCCATCAGTTTTCATGCATGTGTCAGTGAGTTTTATAAACGTTGCAGATTCCTACACAGACAAAAACTCTGCACGTGATACTAGTGTTGTGGTGTGAACAGGGACATAGAGGACAAATGTGCCCTATGTGCAGAAAAAAAACTCACGTCTCTGTACCATGGTGTAAAAGAGGCCTTAGAAGTAGTAAAGAACACTTTTTAAAGCATGCACACTATGTTCTTTTTTTTAAGTGGCTAATTTATTACACAAATTGATTACCAAAAAATTTTTTTATAACATACTAAAAAGGCTAGTTTGCAGCATATATGGTAAGTCTTGCAACGTACATCTTTCAACATCCACATGATAGTACCCTTTCTGTGATGCAGAAATTTTATATTTCAGTAGTTCGGCGTAAAGAATAATGGATTGCAGTAAAATAGAGAACAGGAGTAAAAAAAAAAATTGTATATGAAATCTAGCAAAAAGAAATACAGAACCCAAAGTATGCAAAATGTGAATGTGACAGAAGAGTGGGTGGGGCAGAACACACGTGGGGAGCAGTAGGACACAAGGCTTTTATTGAGTGGTTTGGAGGGCACACGGTGAGTATGGCAAGGTTCTGGCAAAACAAAAGTTAGGTCCGTACCACAGGGTGGGACACACGACAAGGATCACAGATTTCTGGTAGGCAACAAAGGGGGTTAGTCTGTAGCACTGTCTGGGCCCATAACAGGGAGGCAGACTCTGGCAGGCAATGGGTTAAGTCCGAGTGGCGCACAACTGGGTGGCAGACTGGCAGGCAATGGGTTAAGGGTGAGGGGCACAACAGGGCGGCAGACTGGCAAAGCAATGCGTTAAGTCCAAGTGGCACACAATAGGGAGGCAGAACTCTGGCGGGCAAGGATTAAACGCAGGTTGGATCCTCAACACAGGGGGAGGCACACAGCAGGGAGGCAGAACTCTGGCGGGCAAGGATTAAGCCCAGGTTGGATCCTCAGTGCAAGGGGTTGCACACAGCAGGGAGA